TTTTATTTATTGATAATTTATTTTAAATATTAATATTTAATTTATAAATAATTATAATAAATAAATATTGAATTAAATAAGATTATAAAAAGTTAAAAAAATCTCTATAAACTCTTTCGTTGAAGAATTACCCCTAAAAACATTCTTATGTAAGATAAATGTCTGTGTTTAATTTATAAAGGTTAATATATAATACCTATTGGAAGATACTGCAAGAAAAAAAGGCTTTAAATGCTTATTTTTTAATATAAGCATTTCAATATCCTTTGAGCTCTTAAATTAACATCATACATGTTAAAGGTCATAGTATATACTCTACTCACTTTTGATTGATGTAGTGTACATAAGTAATTCTACATGAAGTCTATATTGGATTGAGTAAATTATTCTGTTCATCTCAGTTATTGTCAATGGATTGTAATTGACATGTGCTAAAAACTAGATCCAAGTTACTCCCCAAAAATGAAAATTCATATGGAGTTGGAACTCAACATGAGCCCTTCATGTCGAAATTTTACATACTTTAAGTCCTAGCAATTCCAACTAAATCCATTCAAATCAAACTGTTGGCAGTGAGAAGAAGCATCATTATCATCATGTGAATTCAAGTCCAGTTTCACTTCAAAGTTGGCAAGTCTATAATCTTGAGAAATCTTCTCATGGTTTAGTTTAATTGGCATTCTCCCAGTTTCAGTGTTCTCTCTTCCCTTCCAGTTTTCTTCCTTTGAAAGAATTGATCTCCCAATTTTTTCTTCTTCATGAACTCCTACGTTCATGGATAAGAGGTTTGAGGACCTTTCTGGTAAGAAATTTCCCTTCACTACTTTATCATCTCTTGATGAGGAAAGAAACATCATATTCTTCTTCACTTCTTCACTCAGTGTGAGATCAGACTTTAAGTGCATAGGCTCTTCCACACACTCTTTTGAAACTACAAATGGAGGGCCATTATTATAGGCTCTCAAATTCAGGCCAATGTTGTGTGTTTCTCTATCTCTTTGAGATTCCTCATCATAGGTTAAGAAACTACCAATTGAACAATCAGTGACTTGGCCTTCTTGTGATTGCTGAGGCCACAGAGCCTGCAGTTCTTTCAGTTCTGAATATTTAGAGTCAAGGCATTGAGAGGACACTCTGGATGCAAGTTCGGATAGTTGAACCTTGGCAGCTTCAACCCCCTCAGCACCTAGATTTTGTCTCCCTAGTGTCTCTTGTGCTTTTTCCAACACTGCCTGGAGGTACTTCCCCTGTGCCTCTATCCTTAATTGTAAGTGTCGCTGTACCTGCTTAAAAAATGAAGAAAAAGAATCAGAAGTTCAGAAGAATCAGAACAGAAAGAACTATGAACCTGTTTAGATACAAGTTAAAAGTATTATTAAGAGTTTCACCACTGAAACTCTTAATAATACTTTTAAGAGCTTCAATGTGTACCGAAAGCAAACTTTTGGAATCGATGTTCTACAACTTCTGAAAACAATGTTGTGAAAAATATTTGAGCTTATATGAGACCGATAATAGCAACAAAAAGCAAACAATGAGTTTTACATATAAAACTGTTTATCAAGCTAAACAGTTTTTTGATAAAATTATCGTTATCATTCTAAAGTATAAATTCATTGATATAGTTGGAGATCTCACATCGATCACTGATATGATCATAACAGTGTATATAAGTGGGAAGTCCTCACCTTATAAGTCAATTTTGTAAGATTAAGTTAAGTTTACACTCACTTTCTTAATATGGTATTAAGGTTTATCCTAGTAATTATTGATTGTTGTTAGACATTATCAGATCATTCACTACTGGACTGTTATTGGATTACCATAGATATCAGTCTTGTAAATTTCACGTCTGACTATAATAATATATATAAGTGAGGAATAATTCTTACCTTACAAATTAATTTTGTAAAATTGAATTAGGCTTATACTCACTTTTTTAAGTGATAAGTGGGGAGATTCATGAATTCCCATCTTCACTATGTTTGTATGTTAGAATAATTTATAATTTTACTTCTGCATAAAATTTTACATTCAATGCAGAAGTGGCCATTTCAAATGCTTGGTGCTTTATTATTACTGTATTATACATTCAGGTTAAAAGTTCAAAGAAATCCTATACCTCAAGCTGCTCATGTAGTCTTCTCTGTACTTCAATTTGCATATGTAACGCCTCATTTATTTCTGAATTTCTGGGTTGAGGGTGATACTTGTTAGTGTTGCCTCCCATTACAGAGAATTAATTTTGAACAATGAAAACTGGATGACAGAACAAAATGATGGCAACTGGAAAGGGTTCTTACTTGTTTGTCTGGAGGCCTATGTTTAAATGTTTCATTTGAATTCCACTTGCTTCTGACATTCTGCCTGTTGCTTCTGTGGTTGATACTGGTAAGAGAAATTCATTTTCAAAAATTAATGCTTTGTAAAAGATAGGTCCTGCTTAGTTCATATTCTGCTTATGAAATACACGTAAAGAAAATTAAAAAAGAAAATGTTCCCTCACCAATTTTATTGTTGCCAGTATTGGTTTGTCCATGCATATTTTTACTAATCCTGTATTTCTGCTATCAAAGATAAATTAATAACTAATCACATAAAATATATATGCAAAAATAAGACAATACAAATCATTTCAACAGTCTTTGCCCTATGAATGCCAGTGACTAGATTTAGGTTTTGATTCCATTGAAATTTACTTCTGTTACAAAAGCTAATTAGTTTACCAGTTACAACAGAATAGTGAGCAGGTTCTATTTTATAATTAACTGATTCTTTGGCTAAGTTTCAAAAGATTGATTTTGTTTTCATGTCTTGAAAGGAACATAAAAAATCCAAATCAAGTAACCAACTATTTACAAGTAAACATGTGTCATGGTGTTCACCTTCACTACTTGAATTGCAATCTCTACATAACATTATCATAATTAAACTGGAAATTTAAATAAATAATATGGCCAAAATTAAATACATCTTATATTAATTATATTGGTCATTCATTGAAATAACATGTTACTTGTAGATGACTCTTTAAATGGTAGAGAGTAAGTCCAGGAATCCCCATCTGTTTCAATACTGTTTTTGGTGTAGCTTCTGCATAGAAAGAATAAGTTAGCTTCAAAATAACCATTTTCTGATTCACAATTTTTCTATTGTGTGCATAGACTCACTGTCTGCTCCTCCAAGTTGATTGACTGCTTCTATGAACCGTTCATGAAGATCTGGTGTCCATTTTAGTCTAGGCTTAGCATCAGTTGAAAGAACAAGTCCTGAATCACCAGTTCCATTGCCTCCTTGCATCATCATATGCCTCTCAGTAGGGTTGTGCATCCTTAAAGCATGCATGTTCTTAGCTTGTTGCTGCTGCGGATAGTACATTATCTTTCAAGGAAAAAAACATGATTTCATTATTCTATATAAATGCACAAGATAATATTAAAAGGGCAACCTAGTGCACAAGTCTTGAACCTGTGACCTTAACAAAGCAACAACCTTACTGTTGTGCCGAGGCTCGCCCTCAAGATATTGTTATATTGAAAATCATTTGTTTACCTGTTTTGTACTACACCTTCTGAATCCAAGCAGCTAAACTGAAATTTGGTTGTCCTGTATTCTTGAAGAGCACTTCTTTGGTGTTTCAACTCAAATATGTGAAAGTTTCTACAACTGCTCTTGCATGTCTTCTTTTTTTTCCTTGAAAAGATCTTCACAAGCCTTGGTTGTACTCAAAGATGTCCTTATAAAGAAAATGCCCCAAGGAAAGTGGCCTTGTGAGGCATAGAATCTTGGACGGAAGCAACTCAGAATTGAACTTGATCCAATATATTTCAGAGCTACTTAAAAAAGAGATGTCATTCTTCCTACTTTCTCCATTGTGGGCACTCTTCACTCCCACTTTTGATTTGGAGAAAGCACTTGTCCATTGGAATTGTGTGCATTATACTTTCTGAGACACCTCACCTCACACGTTGCATTTGGTACCAAAATTGACCCATCAATTTATATCAGAGTGCACCTGCATTTGTTTTGTCCCACTGGCAACGCAGGAATCTTATTCCAAAAGTCTAGAGAAGAATTCTGTGACTAGAATTATAGAATCAACTTTTCTTTTTTTTCCTTGAAAGCATCAGAAACCACACTTCTCCCTCTATGTTTTTCAAGAAATATTCTTGGCTTAGAACCCCTTAGTCCTTTTCACTAGCATTGGTATTTGAGACAATTTACAGGTAGATGATTTCACCTAGTAATATCATCAATAATGCCAATGAGGATTGGCTGAATGTAATATACACTGAAGGGTGTAGCAGAGGAAATCAAATTACTCGTGACTTCTTTAATATAAAATAATTCATCAATAAAAATAACTAACAACTAATAGAGATAATGTTATCCTTTTAAAAGGAAGAGTTTAATTTGTATGCAATACCAATGTAAAATTTACACTGTTATCAGAAATCATTATATGAATAACTTTCAAGATGGTAATTACAAAAGTTAACAAAATAGTCATTCATGTCAATTTGTGATAAAATGATGGTGAAAAAAATATAATTTCGCTTTTCAAATAGAGGATAGCAAAGTAGGCACAAATCTTTTTGAATAAACTAGAGAGGCATTAGAATGTAAAATTAGTTATACTTGGAAAATGTAGAAAACAATAATCTTGTAATTAGAAAGCCTATGAATAGATATGCTGCAGATACATTCAAGAAAAAGAATAATAATGGAAATATGCTGTTCTTCAAGTCCTTTGAATTTTTTTGAAAGTAAGGAATAGAATAAGAACACATTCTGTTTTGTCTTGTCTGATAAGTTTGGTGCTTATGTGACCAATAGAGAATAAAACTTGAAAAAAAAAGGATGTAGAAGTATTCATGCTGCCGGCTTTGCCTTGACGAATCCTAAGTTGCTGGGACCATATGACAAGACAAAAAACTAGTGACTAGTGAGTGTACTTTGGTTCCTTTATACTTGCATTTGAGTTAGGACATTTGTAGCCTGTGGAGTGGAACACTTGTCCTTGAGTGGTTGGAGTTGCATATTCTCTTATGATTCCATGCACACACCTCACTGTTTAATATGGCCTTTAAACTCCCTTGGACTAATAAACCTACATCATGTGCCCGTCCTCACATTGTGCAAGTATCAAGTGATACGATATATAAGGCTCTTTATATAAGTATTTCAAAATTTAAATATTATATAAAAAGTTAATAATGTAATTTTAATAAAAAATAATACATGTTTTTACACAATATGAACAAGACTTAATAAAGCTTTAACAAAATGTATTACATTTTTTTTCCTTCAATAAAATCTTATGTTATCATTTATTATCAACAAAATATTTTCTCTAAAATGGTCGTGTAGTAGTAAGAAATCTTTATTATAATAAAAGGAAGGAAGTCTGTGATTCTTTTTTCCCGCTCAAAATAAGGGTACTTATGTAATTTTATCTTATCATAATTATTCTGAATTTTATTTTTTTATTTTAATAAATTCTGAACATAAGAAAAACCCTTCCTCTTTCTCTTTGTTTTATACAAAAGAAAAATTCTTCCTCTTCCTCTCTGCTTTATACGTTTCCCAACAAATTGCTTGCATTTTGTCTTCCACTCAAAGAAGAGAAGCAATTAAGAATATCTATTTCCTATGTATTGGTTGCAGCTCTTCAATGCCAATTAATCTCAACTATCCTCTAATTTTTAAAGTATTTTTATTTTCAAAACTTCATTCTGATTGTCCAGTTCCATCATACTCCCTATTTCTAAAAATACTCTCTATATATACATTGTCCACTTTCTGATTTGGGTACTTTTGTACTTCTAATATGAGGATTCACACTTTCTCTATCAATCATAGGAAAACCATTTTTAGGTAAGTTTGTATGAAGTTTTAATTTTAAAGGTTGGTTGTTTCAATGTTGATGTATAGTGAACATATTATTAAAAGTTTTATCCTTTTTTACTTTCATCTTTTTTTTAAAGGACGTGGCTCAGAGGTTTACATTATTAAAGGACATTGCAACGGGGAGAATAGATTGGAAGATAAGCGTTCGTATAATAAGATTGTGGAGGCTGTTAGAGTTTAAGAATCCATTGCAAACAAATTTCTTGGAAATGATTTTGGTGGATGAAGAGTTTTTTTTCTCCATGAATTATAACAGTTATAAATTTCATTATTAGATAGTGTAGTTTTTATTTTTGCTTCTGTTTGAAATTTTCATCTTCACCAAAAAAAATATAATTAGTAAATATATTGTTTTCAGAATTAATTACAATGAGTCAATGATCTTAGTAAGGACATTGATAAATTTTTCTACACGTATGTTATTTTTTAGAAACTAATGTATTTTTCCCTTTATTTTTTTAATTATTTTTACCTATTATAATTATAATTCAAATAATAACCTTATTTTAAAACAAATGAAATTAGTCTCATTCAAATCTTTCAATTTTTTCTTTTTAACCAAATCCTACAACTCAATATCTTTTTTATAAAAAACTTACCGTCACTTTTGTATGTACAAATCATTTTGTTTAAGGCTAATTACTACAGTAGTCATGTTGTATTCTTTCATTTTTAATTGATGAATTTCTATGTATTGTGTCTGGATTTTTTCAATTTGACCTTTCTATTTTGCTGTCAACTCATTACATGTCCTTCACTTCAATTTTTTTCTTATTCGATTCAATTTTTCCAGAGTTTAAGAATCCATTGTAAACAAATTTCTTAGAGATGATTTTGGTAGATGAAGAGTTTTTTTTAGGTTGTTATGTTAGAAGCTATTCATTTTTTATATGTCATAGGTAGTTCAAAGTTATTTATATGACAGATGATAGACACTTTATACTTTAAAAGAGGTATGTGTTGTGTTATTTATTTAAATTATTTTATTAAAATACATTATTATAATATTATTGTCCTCTCTTTATTTTTTATTTCTTCTTTTCTGAATATTCTTCTCTCAATGTTATTCTTTTTTTTTTCTCTCTTTGAACTCAAATAATTCAATTGATGGATTTATCTACTGTATCGTATATATTGTGAGTGATTATTGGTTTCTAAAATTTAATCACCATCTAAGCTAAACATGTTATGCCTCATACATATACTGAATTTTTTTTTGAAAAATTCTACTGTATATATATTTCTTCCTCTGTGACTATTCTTCTCTCAATATGACATTTTTTTTCTCTTTCAATTCTAAAGATTCCATTGTCTCATTTTTTTTTGAAAAATTCTACTGTATACATATTTCTTCCTCTGTGACTATTCTTCTCTCAATATGACATTTTTTTTTCTCTTTCAATTCTAAAGATTCCATTGTATCATTTATTTACTGCCAAACATATACCGTGCAGGTGATTTTTAAATTATCTAACCTTTTATTTACTTGCCAAATTATAGTTTTCTAAATGTTTATGATTTTGATTCATATTAAAAAGACAAAGGGTTGTTGTATAACTCTTTATGATTATTTGTAAGGTTTTAATTGTTAATTTAAAAAGGAAAAAAGGAAACTTAATAGGTGGGCATTTGACTTCTGTTAGTACACTACATACCCCGTGGTAATATTGTCCTTTTAGATTTGGCTCCCAAACGAGAGTCATTTAAGAAAATAAATAAATAATTTTATTTATTGACAGGTTGAACTTCTTAAATTTGCTTTCAATGCTAAACATTATAAATTGTTTATAATAGATATTTAACATTTTCTTCAGTTTCTTCAGATTTTGAGTATTCAGAAACAAGCAGTGTTATGGATGATAATGTTGGAAAAAGCGAAATAACTCAAAATCATCCGATGAAGATGTTCAATATTGTAATCGCAGTAAATGTGTCAAAGTGTGTCATTCAAATGTCACCAATGGTGAGTGATAGTATGTCCTAATGTTACATATTAACAATAAGAAATATTTTTCTGTCAAAGTATTTAATTATATAAAGCACTTTAAAATGTAATTAATATATGAATGTACATTTTACAATTGCAGGAAATACTATTCCAAGTGATCATTCCCGTGAGCATTATCTAAATGATTTTATTGGAGGAAGTGCATCTAATAAAATAGAATTATGTAGTATTCCATTGTCGGATATTACTAATGGTAAAATTAAATTTTGTAAAAGATGTTTCATTCTATTTATATATATGTTTAAAAATTAATGATTATTCATATTTTGTTATCATTATTACTTGGTGCCAACAGTCAAAATGTTTCTCCCTCTTTTGCTATAAATAAACTATTATTTGGTAAAGTTGCACCTATGCAACGTCGATGTAATATGTCTCAATCTTCTGATGTAACAATTGCCAGGTTAACAGGTTAGTACTAAACAAATTTTTTTTGATCTATTATTTATTTCTCAAAATTATTTATGGAGAAACTTATTTACAAGGTTAGTTTTTTTTTTCAGTTAATGATAGCACACATAATGTACATTGATCTAACACTGTCTTAAATAGAGTTGTTAGAAGAGATGTATGTATGAAAAAACAATTTACAATCTTCATTGTCGAATGTCACAAATGATAATTTATGGAGTCTTATTTCTTTTAATATAACTATATTATTTAATTTTATAATGTTTATATTTACCATTTCTTATTTGATTATCCTTTTAGGTTGTGATTTTATAGTTAAGATATTATCTAGCCAAAGAGAAAACTACACATCAAATCAAAACAATGAATTTGATGACAAGTTGTTCAAAAAATGTGAATCAAATCATAATAACCATGCACAAGGAAAGAACCACAAAAATTAATATGGAACAATGATAGATTAATAAGAACTTCATAGCAAAATGTACTCATTGATGGTATACATGAAGATGCATCCACTACCGATTTTATGTCTTCAATATTGTATTTTATTTTAAGTTTCATATTTTAACTATTAATCGATTACATGAAGGCTTATTATTTTCTTATAATAATAATAAATAATTTATTGCGATATT